CTCGAGTCTTTAGAGATCTGTCATAAATAGTTACTAGCACATCACACAATACAGTAGCCAAGTCTTGATAATCAAGTGCTGAATGTACTAAACTCTTTTTTAAAATTTTGATAATGTAAGTTGAGCACTTCCACCATTCACCCCATTAAGCAGCAGTGGGTGGAATGAATTTCCATTTGATTTTATTCAGTGCATTTGATATCTTTTTATTTTATATTTCTCAATGCATTGTCAGTACCAAAACATTGATACCACTATTGGAATGTATGACAGACAGTCTGCTACATTGGGTTATGAATCTTCACGGTGATTGAATAAATGCTTCTGTACTTAGAGCTGCAATAAATTTGAAGTGCACAACTCTATAAATAACACCTACGCAAGATTATCCATGTTTTAGTACGATTTCTTAGGGAAAGAAAACCACAAAAATCTATTCCGACTTTCGCAAATATAACAGCTTCTCTGACCAAGAGTAGGCAAATAGGAACAGTCTTTTATGACTTTGCAATAAACTGATATCTTACACACTTGAAATAACCTTCTTGATAGTTCTTGAATGAATGATCTAATATTTCATTCAGATATCTACTATTTCACTCTAAATCCTACAGGAGCTAAGAGAAACCCTACAGCTGCAAATTCATATTGTAGAAAAACACAACTGCATGCGTATATTGCCTTGTGGTGCAAAAGTTATACAATGACCAATTTTTCTGTTGTCCATATCCAGTTTGTCGAGGAAGCTTCAGTTCTTCAAGTGCTAATTCTTTGTACCGCTTAATATATTTTTCTTGAATACTTTCAGTTAAAGCCTTATCCCAGTTTGATTTAATAGCAGAAGCTTCTTTGATTAATAATTTACTTGGTAAACGTTGCATTAATAACTTACCAGGTGTCAAAAATCCAACAGGATCCAAAACTTGCTTTGCAAGAGATAAAATATCCCTTTTGGATGGAGATTCTTTCCTAAGTTTTAAATTGACTTGTAGAGTATAATCTTTTTTTATTCTACTGTAGGCCTAACAAAAAGGCATGATTTCTGTGGAAACTATGCCTAGCTTCAGTTCATTCATTAGCACTGTATTTCCAGTTTTGCTGATGGAACCAAACTGCCAAATTCTTGAGTATTTTAGCCTGCACAAGTATTTCTGTAAAGCCTATTACAAAATCTTTTAACTCAATTCATCATTGACTAATGAAATGCAGTTATCAGTACAAAAAGATTAGTTTCCTTGCAGTAGATTTTGAATTCTTCTGAAGCACTGGAAAAACTGTAATTAATTACAGCTTCCAATAAGAAATCATTACATATAACCCCAAAACCATTCTTTTATGTTGGAAAACATAGGTATTTGAGTTATTTTCCTACCATAAAAACTTAAATAGTCACGATCTTCTTTCAGCTCAGTTTGAAGAAAAGTGCTTCATATATCTCAAATTATTCTAATAGGCTTTTCTCTGAGTCTCATTACAACTGCCAATATTTGCTTTGTTAAGTGAAGAATTATTCACAGTTTGCATGAAATATCAAATACATGTCTTATTTTAGTAAGATGCAAGTCTGTGAATACATGTCTTATCTTAGACTATCCAGTTTGGTAATTAGTTGGTGAGGAAAGTAATGTGGTTTGGAATCTAAATTTTCTACTGGCACCTTTTCTGCAATTCATTCTTTTTCTCACGCCATCATATTCTCAATATTTATTGATACTTTTTAGTTTTCTTGTTGCATTTAAGAGGCATCTTTTTTCTATATCTTGATTAAATGGAATGTCTGCATGCTCCTCAAGCCAGGGAAGATAAACCCAACAGAGATCAACTTTGCCTTTTCAAAAAAGGATCTTGACCTTTTTCTTCCTCTGCTGACTCTGCTTCTTGGTATGACATTCTCAAGGATCTTTAATCTATTATTTTTAACTGCCAAAGCTCAGAAATTTTTAGATATCTTACAACTATACTTGCAAATATCATTGAAGAAATGTTGACATCGCTTTCGTCAGAAGTTGGCCCATAAAGAATCCAATCAAATTTAGTTTCAGAGGTGGTTAGCCATCTTCTTAATTGTTTCACTTTTCCAGTTAATAATCTTTGATATAAGAAATTCAATATTTGGGACACTTTGGTCCTAAGTCAGAAAGCCAAATTCTGTGTTTTTTCAGTCCTTTTGAAATTAGAAATCTTGGAAGTCTTGATATTTTCCCACATGTTACACTTTGGTTTAGGAATTTTAATTCTTCTATTAGTTCTGAATACTTAACTAAGAGAACATAACTGTAAGTTTTATGTACAATCACTTCAGTTCGTGAACCCTCCAAAAAGGAATGAGCTAAATTGACTGCAGAACTATACTTCAGCCTTAGGTATGTGACTGTATCATCTACTGTAAAAGATTTCTCTGGTTCGCAGCCTAAAAGTGCCCTAATATTCTTCATTCAATTTATCCATACAACTGTTACCTCTGAAGTCATTAGTGCTATCTCATTGCAGCTACTCTGGTTTAAAGTGGTGCTTCGCAGTAACTTTAAAGACTTTCCCCCCCCCCCCGAATTCTTATTAAGATCCAAATTTGAGCAAAGAAAACTGGATGATCTTTTGAACAAATTTGACAACACATCGTACTTTTACACTGCTTAGCCAAATGCATAGGCTTAAGACATCTTTTTTCACATATGCATGGTGTATTTTTTCTGAAAGTGGTAGTGACCGAGCAGTTATGCATTCTTTACTATCATTCAACTTTTCACAGAAAATACACATTAATTCTTTTCCTATGAAAAGGTCTGCTATTGTAGGCAGTTTAGGTTCCTTCCACTTCTTATTATCTTTAAATTATCTCTTGAAGTTGCTACCCTGAAACTGTGCTTAGCTAATTGTAACCGTTCATCACTATATATTTCTCTTTTTAAAAATTAATAGGAGAAAGCCATGTGAAAATAACTTCCTTGTCTAACTGCATGAACTCTAGAGAGACCTCAATTTTTTCAAAAATTTCAAATTATGGTAATCTATCTTCACTACTAGCCCCTACATTACAATTTATTAACTTTAGCAGTTCTAATATATAATTCTATAAGTAAATCTTTTTTTTTTTTTTTTTTTTTGTCAGAGTGATTCCGTAATGCAGAAAATAGAGTTTTTTAATTTTCTGAGATATGTGGATAAATTTCAGTAAATTTTTTAACACATGTACCTAGCTACATGCATTGTTAAGATACTGAAACTTGTCACTATCATGTAAATTCTTATCCTCATCTATCTTCTTAAATTATGACCAGAATTAATTAATTCTATGCTGAATTTTTTAATTTTGATTTTAGGAAGTTTATAATTCTTAACCTTTAACTCTTCATAACTGCGTACTGAATTATTTTCATTCTGAATGGTGCCTGTTAATTTTAAATTTGCATGCCTATTCATAGTAATATTCTCATCATAATGTTCTTCAGTGTCATTCATGCTGGCATTAGCACTCCATCTCCAGTGTCAGAATTGAATAATGCATCTACAGTTTTTTGAACAAGGTATCTCAAATCTCCATTCAATTTTCCAATTTAGTGAGGTTATCTTGGAGCATACCTCTGTCTACTTCCATTTTATGAATTTCTTTCTAAATATTTGTGGTCTTCATAAAGGAATATCTTACACTGGTATGTAATTTTTTATTAAGCTCCATTTTATTTATAAAACTAAACTTTTATATTAAATCATTAAGCATACATTAAACAATCCTGGGTGGCTTACCATTAAATGTAAGCAAAACTATAACGAACCCATCACTTGTCAGGATTGATGAAAACAGATGTACAACAAAAATGAATGTAGATTATATGGTGAAAAGTAAATTTACTTACCTGTAATTCTGAAAATCTCTCTTCTTAATTCCGGAAACTACTTGGCTTCCAATCAAGGAGGTACATACTTTTTTTTAATATTGTACTATATAAAAAAAAACTAATAAGATACATGATTAATATCATATAATACTACAAATTTCAATCTGTGTCATCACAAAGTAAACGTTACTATTCTATTTTTAAATTCAGGAGATTCCCCTTAATCACACACATCCCTTTTATTGTTAAATGGGCATTTGAGTTTTAATAATGAATGTTACATGTGTTTCAGATGTCTTTAGCACATAATGTGGCTTGAATTGAGAGTATTCAAATTAATTGTTTAATGGTTTAATCTTATTTAATTTTTTTAAGAGGCAGAGGAATTACTTTTCATTTTTTAAAACAATGGTTTTAATATAAAATTTTTTAAGCTTATCTAATCTAAAGGATGGATTATAAACAAATAAACATTGTTTTAGTACTTGAAAGTATCCAAAATCAGAAGCTACCATAAAATGCCAAAAACGAGAATAACTAATAATGTCTGCCTTCCTATTGCAACTATATTTCTGCATTTTGTGTGTAGTACTAGAAGTATAAAACAAATCATTTTCTCACAGATAGAAATGATTATAGAGCCATATACATAATAAGAGTGAGTTAATGCATGAATAATATCCTGTAAATTGAATTATATTGTTGGTGGCTATACTACGGGCAGTGTCAGGGAAAGAACAAGTTAGCCAAACCATCACCATAATTTCCAATCTTTAAGCTATATTCTAGCTAATTTACAAGTACCAAAAATTTCACTTGGACTATTTTATAGCTTTCACAACACTGCTACACAACTGTAATATCACTTTCTGAATAGGAGGTATTTTACTGGAAAATTATGACAATTTTTGCTGTTTACGATAAGTCCCGTTACCATACAACTCACAAGAACCTGCATTTTTCTTAAAGATCTTATAGGAAAGATGCAGATGTAATCTGGATAGATTGTAATCTGTGTGTAAATGTAATCTGAATAGATATTTATTTTTTATTCCTTTATTATGCTTGTTATTTTGTAGGCTAATATTTGTTTAAAATTCCTGATTGCAAATTACTTGTTTACAAAGTGTTATTTATTTTTTATTTTCAAAAATATTTTCTTAGGATCAGCTGATGTGCCTTAAACGTACTTTCCCATATATGTTAGATTTAAGTGTTGATGAACTAGGTTTCGATATTAATGATGAAAGCGAAGAGTCATTACCTGGCACTGAAATAACTGCTGAACCAGGTGCTATGGCTCAGCCAGAAGCAAAGAAGTCAAAAGTTGCTCCATGGTATGTAAATATATTTACATGGTCTATAAAATATCTTTTCTTATTACAGTACAAAGTCCGAAATACGGACATCCATTATCAGGAATTATCTAAAATCCGGACCTCAAAGTCACAAACATTTTTTTTTTATATGCTTTACGCATGCGCATTTGATTTTTCCTTCCATAATAAAACGTGGAGATTTTCACTTAAAAATTCCGATTCTTAATTTCACTTAGGCACTAAATAAAATACCTCATTATGGAAAAACAATCATGTAAGCATAAATTCGTAAGATTAATAATTTGGCTCCGTAGCTGAGTATCTGCTGGGCATACATCTCAAACCAAAACATTCACCTATTTTACATTCCTGACGCCGACCTGGCAAGCCATTATTTATTATATTTTGCTTTCATCACAGCATGTTTATCAGTAGATGACAGCTTCAGTAATAACTCACGCTGTGATGTTTAAACTTAGTAATTTAATAACAAGAGTATGGCAACCTTTTATGCTAACGTTACGCTTGGCAACGATTGTAGATTTTTAAATGCTATAAGAAATGTTGACGAGGAAAAATTCAACAAAAATTCTTTTTATATGCTAAAAATAGATTTTGTTAATGAAACTCATAGGCCAAAAGATTACATTTAGTGCTATTTTAATTAAAAATAACTGATATGTTATTCATCATAAACCCAGAAGCGGCGACGGAATATGTCGGCACCGGACGGCAGAATTTAGGAAAGAAGAAATTTTTGGAATTTGGGGAAACACCAAACTACAAAATTAAGGGATGAAAAGTTTTTTACGATTTAGGGAAAGCACTGGGATCCAAATCTGGCTTAATTTCAGTACACAATAAGAGCAAGACAAAATTTAGCGAAACAACTTTGCTTTCATAGCCAATCTTGTAATACACAGCCAATAATGTATAACAGATGCTATTAAGCTAGGCTAAAATTATCTTTACTGATTCTAAGGCATTTCAGTTAATCTAGCGGACTGTGCTGCTCCTTAATCTTCTAATTTGATCCAGCTTATTATTTTGCAGACTGTTATTATTACGGCAATTTTATAAAAAATAAGCTTGAACTTTCGATTATGTCGAAAAGATTTTCCAATTCTGGAGCTGCCAAAGGATCTACAAAGCGAACCATGTTTCAATGTCCATTAAACAAAAATTGGAATTGCTGGAAAAAATGGATAAAGGCATATCCGTCTCAAAATTATGCGAGGAGTATGTATGGCATTGGAAAGTCAACTGTATATGATATAAGAAAAAGGAACTTTTTGAATTTTTTTGTGGAAGCAACTTAAACAACTTACATTGAAAAAAATGTTTAATAAAGTAAACAAATAAATATTAAGCATTTTTTTTTGTAAATTTGATACCCTTTAGATCATAATTGTTCTTTATTTCATAAATTATGATTTCATATTTTTAACTGTATCATTTCTGCATGCCATCTTACCAGATGTAAATTGATGATCTAATATCCGGAAAAATCTCAAATCTGGAATTGCCAAAGTCCCGACGAGTCTGGATTTCGGACTTTGTACTGTATAATACAGAATTATTTATTTGCAAATGTAAATGCTGTGTTTCATGTGAAAAGTAATATTGATTTTATTTGTAATATTAAAAGATATTTAATGCATGTTTCTGTTGATTTTAATGGCTAATTAAAAATAAAAATAAATAAAAAATAATATAATAAAAATAAATAAATAATAATAATAATAATAATAATAAAAAAAAAAACCTGTTTCATGTAACTTTTGTAACCATAAAAAGTTAGAAAAGGCTGATAAGGTGGAACAAGTATTTTGTTTTATTTTTTCAGTTGTTATATTGTTTCATGTAATAACCTGGAATTTGTTTCTGGAAAAGTAAATTATTTATTATTGGATAAACTTTTTAAATTTTTAGTTTGTTTCAAAGAAATATTTTCAATTTATTTACTTTTTTGTTAAAATTATATAAGTGTGTTTTAAGATTTTAATATTAAAAAAATATTTAAATTTTTGAGGTTTTTCAATTTCCTCCCATTAGTTGGAATACTGTAGAGGCAGATGATGATGATGATGAAATGAGCCCTGAAGAAATTCTACAACAAGCACAACGAGCTGCAAAAGCTGCAGCTAATCGTTTGACACTCAAAAGACCAAACAGTAAGGTATATGAGAAATAGATTTACATATCAAAGTTGTATTGTTCTGATTTCCTGTTGCATTATAATATGGGAATATGTGGTACTTAGACCCCTCCCTCCAGGATTCTTTAGTGAATTAAAAATTGCGGAATATTTTGCTTTCTAAAATTATTTTTCAACCTTCACTTACATGAACACAATTAAAATAAGCTTCATCAAGGAAATCAGTATAATTCTTTTTAATTCTCATATTCTTTTTTTTTTTTTTTTTTTTTTAATTACTTTTACAAACCTTTTATACTACTAATGATCAAATCTAAAAGCTCTAGAAGGCTAAAGCCCAAGTTGCATTCTGGATCTTTGTGTATGAAATGTACTGTGAAAATGAGCACTTAAAAATTTGATGGAAGAAAAGTCATACATATAAAGGGAATATTTATTTTTGAAATCATTCTAGAATTTATATATTTTTGCATTAACCAAATAAATATGAGGCTCTTGAACATATTATCGTTGATTATTGGAAGAATTAAAGGAACATTATTATGTTATTTATTATTATGTTATTATAAATTTGCAGGAGTATATAAGGTTTGAATATAGTGCCTACTTCTTCAACTGCAGAATTGCAAGTGACGAAAAAGAAGCCAATGATAAGATCAAATAAGGTAATAAAAGAACAAGGAAGTAAGTAATGTTGCTGGTGCTTTCTGTTGATAAAAATGAAAATAACTATGAAATAATTTTCTTAAAAGCTGAGGGTAAAGACAGATTAGAATTTGGATCCTTAACTAGAACTGAAAGATTTTTAAGAATGTTGAAATGCCTCTAGAAAATCTAATTTGCCAACAGAAGATGCTTTTTGAATAATTTTGGCTGCAGAAAAATGGAAAATGTTATTTTCTGACCAATAGAATTTTGCAACCAAGGATTTATATATTTCTTTTTTCCTAACATATGCCTCATGTTCCTTAGCATGAAACTTTATGGCTCTATTAATTTTATCAATGTAAATTAAACCACATTGTTAAGGAATTCTGTGTATACCCCAGGACTTCATATCCAGAATGCAGTTTTTAAGTATGGAACTGCAAATGTTATTGGCAGAAGAGAAAATTACCTGAAAGTTGAATTTATTTATTTTGATTCATTGATTTCCCTTACTCATCTATGCCTGAAACAAACACATTTTGTTTTCCATAATGAATATTACAAGCAAGCTGAGGGATTAGCCATGGGAACTCCCTTTTAGTCTTATCCTTGCTAATATCTATATTCGTTATTATGAATCAAAATTATTTAAATTTTAAACTTCCCTGTGCGGTTCTGCTACATTGACAACACCTTTTCCTTATTTGATGGTAAAAGATGATTTAAATAAAGTTTTATCAATACTGAATTCTATTGATCTTGCCATTCAGCTCATTTTTGAACCTGAGCCATCTAATTCCCTTCCACTCCTTGACATCATGATCACGCAACATATCCAACTTCAGCAGTATTGTTTACCATAAACTTTCACCTGTTTACCGTACACCACACTTCAAATCATGTCATTTGGCTAAACAGAAGTTAGCTTCATTTTATTCCTTTGTTTTCCGTGCACCTTCAAGTTTGCTCCTCCAAATCGACTCTTGATTAAGAACTAAATAACTTAAAAGCAGTTGTTATTGACAGAGGCTTTTCACTTAACGTTATTGACAAAGTGGTTAAAAAACTCATATTGCAGCACATCAGAAAACTCAAAGGCACCTTCTCATTTTAGGAGATTATAAGAATTCTAGTGTCATTCCTTTTTTCCCATGAGTTAGTTATAAAATTGCATGTATTTTACAGCAACTCAACTTTCGGGTCATTTTTCCCTTCTATCAATAAAAACCACAATTTCATATTTTAAGGATCCCATTCTGGATATGAATTCCTGGGTTATATACAGGATTCCTTGCCAATGTGGTTTAATTTACCTTGGTCAAACTAAGATAGCCTTAAAATTTTATACTAAGGAACATGAGGCATATGTTAGGCAAAAAGGAACACACAAATCTCCTGTTACCCAATACTTGTTGGTCAGAAAATCACATTTTCCATTTTTTGCAGCTGAAATTATTTTTTAAAAAAATCTTCCTTTGGCAAATTAGATTTTCTATAGGGGTTTTACATTCATAAATATGTTTTCAATTCTAGTTGTCCAATTCTAATCCATCTCTACCCTTAGCTTTTAAGGAAATTATTTCATAACTGTTTTCCATTTTCATCAACTGAGAGCACCAGTAGTTTGACTTCCTTCCTATCATTTTTATTGCTTTACCTTACCTCATCTTATCACTGGCTTCTGGTTTGTTATTTGTTCTTTGCAATTGAAGAAGAAACTTCAAAACTAAAACTTCAAACTTCTTAATATTTTATGAATATTGCACCGATTCTTGTTGCTGTAGCTCTTACAATAATCGTTATTTGGCGGGTTATTTTAACTCAAATATTATCATTGATTAAATATGTAAAAGACAAGAAATATTCCTGTAACAAGTGATCTGTTGCTACTGAATTTCATTCTGGAAGATTCTGAGCATATTTTAGACTTTGCTGGTAGTTGCTTTAATGTATATGAGTATTAATACACAATAACACGCCGAATAAATACTAATTCAGAAGTCAAACAACAAAAATCAGCATTATACCCACAAAACTTTCACAGTTTTGTGGGTATAACGCTGATTTTTGTTGTTTGACTTCTGAATTGCATATGAGTAGTTTCAATTTCTTGTCCAATAACAGAGTTCCATTTTTCAAGTCCTGTAAGTGCTGCATCGATAATTCCGACTAACTTGTCAATTGATTTTTTTTTTTTTGTTTTCAATAACCTCTCTGTCACTTTCTTTACTATCGGTAGTGATATTTTCTGGATCTAGAACCATACTACAGATTTCACTGTCTGTTAATTGATTTATGATTGGAGCATTGACATTATAATGAAAAACTTCATCACTTATGCCATCTTCATTTATTACCACTTTTTGACATTTCACCACAGTTGGAAAATTTTACCTTTGGTTTTCAATATCCGAAAACCTTCATATTCGCGGCAATCATCTTCATCATCCTCATCATGAAATATGGTAGCTGGCCATAAGTTATGCCAAGTATTTTTTAAAGTATCTGGAGACTCATCCTCCACGATCTTGCGATGCTCTACATAACAGATTTTATGCTAAAATATTTTTTAAATTCTTTCCATTATTCAAGAAATTTAAGATGGACTTTAAAAATGCTACTTTATATTTGCATTTCAGTGTGCGAACTATTCTAATATCCATAAATGGACGTATAATTTTGGAGGAAAAAATAATATGGATACACTATCTTTCATAAAAAACTTTAAGTGAAGTGTGAGCTGCATAGTTGTCTACAACCAGGACAATTTTTGCATCATCAGGTGAACCAACCGAATTCAAATGTTGCCAAGCCTAGGGTATGAAATGATATTATTAAACCTATCGTTCATTAATGCTTGTGTCATCTATGCTCTTTTATTTGCATATATATATGTATATAAAACAGGGGTTTTATACTTCATATATATATGTTTGTTTATAGCTCAAGGTTCCATATTTTATCCAATTGTGAAAAGTTTACATCTGTGTGTTCATGCAGCATTTATGCATCATAAAATTGTTAGCCTTGCTTTGGAATCTTTGACACAATTTGAAGCCTTTTCTGTAGAGGTTGCCAAGGTATTTCACATTCATGTTGTCAGAAAAGATGAGTTTCATCAGTACTGTAAATTTGTTCTGAAGCTACTTTTCACTGTTAGTGAGTTCAACGAATTTGTCTTCAAATAATTCAGCAGCTTCAATATCAGCTGAAGCTTTTTCACCTGAAATTTTTTATTGCTTTAAACAATGGCGATTTTAAAATTTGGCTAACCAACCTGTCAAATATGTGCACTCAGTTTTAAAGTTCGTTTCTTAGTGAAATATTTTAGCTTGTGCCATTAGTATGTGACCCATCAATGGCACGCCCCTGCTGTGATGCTGTCTGACCCATTCAATTATTACTTTGTCATGATCTTCACTTTTAGCATAACGAATAATTTTTCTGTTTTTTGTTGTGAGTGAGGTGTTGGCATAAAAAAAAAAATCAAAAGTTCCTTTTTTCTGTTTTTTATGTCATGTACAGTTGACTTTCTATTACCATACTCCTCCCATATTTTTGAGACGGATATAACTTTATCCATTTTTGTATTAATCCCACTTTTTGTTCAATGGACATCAAAACATACTTTTGCTTTGTAGATCCCGTTGTAGCTCCAGAATTAGAAACTCTTTTCGACATAATCAAAAGTTCAAACTTTAATTTTCATAAAATTGTTGTAATAATAACAGCCTGCAAAAAAATAGTAAGCTGGAAAAATCAGAAAGTTAAGGAAAAATGCAATCTGCTGTATTATGATTAATCTTTGGATTCAGTTAGGAATTAGCCAAGGATTAATCCAAAGATTACTTGGAATTCTTGGCTAATTCCTTGGAATCAGTAAAGTATAATTTTAGCCTAGCTTTATAGCGTCCACTATACATTATTGGCTATGTATTAGGAGATTGGCGATGAAAGACAAGTTGTTCCACTAAATTTTGTCTTGCATCTATTGCATACTGAGATAATTAAGCCTTAATTATATTAGTTTAGTTATTTATTATACTTACATCTATTTCTTGCATGGGTTTAGGGCTTATCTGAGTTCTGAATAAATGAATTCTCACGTATACTTAAGACTTATCGAGGGCTGGAGCTAGATATCTTACCACCTGGTGCAGTCCCTGCGAGTCCTAAATTCTGCTACCAAATGCCTAAGTTCTAAATTTTGGATCCTACTGCTTTCCTTAAATTCTAGAAATTTTGCTGCTCGTTGCTTCTTTAAATTGCAAAAAATTTATGTTCCTTAAATTCAGCTGTGGCGCCATACGAGATGCCAGACGTACGAGCTGTGGTGCAAGTTCTGGGTTTATTTGAATAACGAATCAGTTATTCTTAATTCAAATAGTACTAAATGTAATTTTTTGGCCTATGAGTATCATTAACAAAATCTATTTTTAGCACATGGAAAGAAATTTTTTGTTAAATTTTCCTCTTCATATTTCTTAGAATCATTAACTTAAATCTGTAATCATCGCCAAGCATAATGTCAACAGAAAAGGTTATCATATTCTTTGTTATTCAATTATTAATATAAAATCAAATTGTTTAGGCTTTGCTGCATGAATAATTACTGAAGTTGTCATGTGTTAGATAAACATGCAGTGATGAAAGCAAAATACAGTCAAAAGTCGTTAATCTGGACTCGTCGGGACTTCGGCGATTCCGGATTATCGATTTTTCCGGATTATAGATCATCAGTTTAAATCTCGTAAGATGGCATGCAGAAATTCTAAAATTAAAAATATGAAACCGAAATTTATGAAATAAAGAACAATTATGATCTAAAGGGTATCAAAATTTGCAAAAAGAAAAAGCTTAATATTTATTTGTTTACTTTATTAAACATTTCTTTCAATGTAAGTTGTTTAAGTTTTGCTTCGTTTCATGTGATAATACTTTCTCTTTAATTCTATTAAACAGACATAATTTCTTGTTTTTTGTTTTCAATAACCTCTGTCACTTTTCTTCGCTATCGGAAGCGAATTATAATGACGAGGAACTTGTTTTAAAATCATATCAAAGACGGAGCATATCCAGATGAAATACTACATTTGGTAAGGAATTATAAGCCAAATAAAATAAAAACATCTGCGCTGAAGATAGTGCTGACAAATCAACTTCCAATTCATTAGGCGCCCGCCGCCGAGCAGCGTGAAATTGATAAACAGATTTCGGATTTCAAAACATACTTTCGCTTTAGATCCTTTACATATTAACAAATATATATCGGAAATTCTATTTGATATAATCGAAAGTTTAAGCTTACTTTTATAAAATTGCTCTTACAGTCTGCAAAAAATAATAAGCCGGATGCAATTCGAAAATTAAGGAACAACGCAATCATCAACATTAACTGAAATAGATAATTAGATAATTTAGCTTATACGTCCATTATACATAAAATGCGCACGCGAAAACGTATTCTGCACTTGCGCACACTCATATGCGCAGTCGTAAAAGGTCTTACGCGCAAGTGTGAACGCCTCTGCGCATGTGTCAACGTGGCGCATGCGCAGAAAGTTTTTAGTTTTGATGTCCGGATTATAGATCATTCCGAATTATGGGTGTCCGAATTAACGACTTTTGACTGTATAACAAATAATGATTTGCCATGTTGGTATCAGGGATATAAAATATTAGTAGGTGTAAAATCAACGATGTTTCTTTGTAGAAGTTTCAGTTTGATTTGTATGCCAAGCAGATGTGCAGCTATGGAATCAAATTATTGGTCACGCAAATTTATGCTAGAATGATTGTTTCTTCAGTAATGAGGTATTTTATTTAGTATCAAAGTGAAATTAAGAATCGGAACTCTCCACATGTTTTATTATGGGGAGAAAAAATAACATGCCAAGTGTTAAGCATACAAAAAAATTCCTTGAAAAAAGTTGGTGGCTTTGAGGTTTAGATTTTAGATCATTCCAGGTTTTGGATGTCCAGATCTCGGACTTTGTACTGTATAATATACCTTTTGTATAATAACAGTCTTTGTCCATATTAAGTTTCGTTTAAATTTATCCATCATTTTTGGAAACAATTGATCAAATGTGAAAATTCTCAAAATTTTGACCATTATTTTGCGAATTTGTGTAAATATATATCATTTGTAGTTATGTTAAAATATTTTACACATGTGAAATTATCTCTTTTATTTTTCTGAGAGAATAGCATGCATTCTTTTGTTAGAAATATTTTTCCAGTCTGTGTACTTAATAGTGCATACTTTCAGTTTGGATTTTTACGGCAGAATGAAAATGGAACCACCACATTGGCCATTATACATCCAAAATCTGGTAAGTCTCGAAATCACATTTTAAAATTATTTGTACAAGTTCAGTTGCCCAGATTTGAATTGCTTTACTGTATATTTTTAACTTGCAGGTGACAGAGAAATGAAAGTAAACTTAGAGATGCTTACAGGGAAAGTAAGTCAAGGCACTGGCACCATTGTTGGTTTTAAAGAGGATTCGAAAAATATTATTAAACCTGGTATGTATTTTTTTATACATTTTTAGAAATGGCTTACTTTCTTTTCAGATAAGTGCTATGTGTTTTAAATTATCTACATGCAGTTGATTTGTATTATAATTCTTTATTGAACTGCAGGAAAAGAAAATATATCAAATAGTTGTTGTAAAAAATGTTCCTTGAAAGTTGCTAGAAATGTTTTATGAATATACAGTAGAATTTAGATAATCTGTTTAAATGCCTACAATTTGTGATTTTCATTTATTTTTTTTTGGGGGGAAAGGGGCATGAAAATAATAAAAAAAAAATTAGAAAATTCAACATGGCAAATTGAGAGGCAGTTTCTTAGTATGTGGGAACAAACATTTTAACAAAAATATTTTTATACCATATTTTAATTGAAGAAGTGGATTTATTTTACTATTGGAAGTTACTTTGCATTTTCTGCACATTTATTCATTGTTAGTTTAATAGTTAACATGGATTATGAATCTGTAAAAAGTTTTTGTTTGAGATAAATCCTTTTGTGAGATATATATGTGCAAAGATTATTTTGCTGCTAGTTTTATTACATTCCAAGCAACAAGAAAGCTTGTTTATATCAGTTGCGAATGTGGATAGATTATCAAAAATAACACTTGTAAAGGTTTTCTGACATCAGAAATGGAAAACATGGCAAAGAAATTAGGATAAGAACGTTAAAAGTTCCAACTGCTATCCCAAAAATTGTTGCAGATTAAAACAATTATATACAGGAAATTTGCTTTCAGTACCTGCAGAAGCAATCAATAAAGACTGGGAGAACAGCAAAGTGCTTTCTCATAGTAGTGTCCAATCGGAAAGAGAGTATGCTTTTTTGAGATATTGTTGCACACATAAAAGATGCCTCAACAATATTTTCAGATTCCTGGCATGGCTACAAAACTGGAGAATTAGAAAAAGTTGGCTTTGAACATTTGAAAATGAACTATTGATATATCTTCATGGATCTGGAAACGAGGGTGCATATGTAGACCATAGAAGGCTGTGGAGATCTGCTAAATGGCAGTACAAGAAGCAAAATGCGAGACTCATATCTTGCAGAATTTATGTACCAAAGGGATAAATTTGGTGAAATTTTATTTCCAATAGCTGAGTTTTGGCCGCCACAACTTTTGTTGGAACAATATTTTTTTTCTAAGTAATGTTGATCTAACTCCATTATAATTTAAATTTTTATAAAGTTTGTATAAAATTTTTGTTGTTATTCCTGGTAACAAACAGACCACGATACTTTTGTTTTTGTTAAAGCTTATTAAAATGATTATGATTCAAATATGCTTTGAATGAATTAAGTATATAATTTCATTGTATTGGATAATGTCTTCAGTGCTCATGCTGGCGATAACTCTGGAAAGCAGTCGACAGCACATGGGCCCTTTAATGATAAGTACCGATATATAAATATCAGAAACACTTTAGTATGTGTCTATTTATTTTAATTTGATGTGTGTGATTCAGACTTGGTGTATGATAATGAAATATATTTATATTGATTTTATTGTAATTTCAAGTAATGTGTAATGCTGTGTTTCTTTTTCAGTTCATTATACTTCCTATGGATCATATAGCTCTTATGCACCTCATTATGATTCAACTTTTTCAAATTTAAGTAAAGAAGAATCAGATCTTGTTCTTTCTACTTATGGGGATGATCTGGGATTACAATATGCTGACAGGTTTGTTTTTACTTTATAGTATTAAGTATATATAACTATAAACTTCAAATTAAAGTACTGTATGGAAATTGGAGATTTGCAAACAGGGTTGTTCATAATTTTGTGAAAAATTTACAGATTTATAGCAGCTAAATTGCAGAACTAGTACCAGATTTTATTACACTGAAATCGAGGCAAATTCATTAAGAAATTCCCGACAGACAGTTCACTAAATACTTTATATAGCCATCTTTCTGAATGACAGATATCATTAAAGACTATTTATAAGAGTATCTGAATCAAAGCTTGCAACAAAAGTGGATAGTAGATACAGATAGAAAGATGGCGCATTAGTGCAATAGCCATTTCTGTTTTCAGAATTAGGTAGCTTTTTCTTGTGTGGATTTGTCGAGTTTACTTTCTTCATACCTGCGGTCTCCATTGATCTCCAGATTCTTCACAACCAAGTCATTACTATGACTCTGGTGATTGGCACATGTCACACAAAATGTATTATTACTTATCTTCTGTTTCAGCAAATGTGCATTTATCAGAAATGTAAAAAACTTAATATTTGCCTTTTTGGCAATATAATAAAATTGTACATTTGTTGCACAGTTTATTTATCATGAATTTTTAAAATGTTTCATGGAATTATGAATAATTCTGTACAACTTATTGTAAGTTTTTTTGTATATGTTCCAATATGCTGTGTATTCAGCATGCAAAAAAATAGTCAAGTGCTGCTAAAAAATACATGACTATCTATATTTTTGAAACATGCTTTTATTAAAAAATATTTTTAGAATTATTTTTACTTACTACTGAGTGATTAATTTTCATGGAACATCTGAGATTCCTGTATTTTCTTTTTAGTCCCCCCTTTTTTAGTTAAAAAAAATTACATAACTGAGTAAGCCATTTTTTCTAAACGAGTAAGCCATTTTTGTGTATGAAATAGCTGTATTAATATCTGTTTGGTTTTGGGACTATAATGAACATTTTTCTACCCAGGCAGCACGTCTCCAAAAATATGCGTATAATTTTAGTGAAATAAGGGTATGGTATTTTTTGCACGTTACTTTTACGAAATTTATACGAATGAAAAAGGCTGAAGTTACTGTTGACTTTGACTTGATCGTTATTTTCCCACACGTTTTTTTACGAAAATTATACGAATCCGAATGTACTGATAAAACTACCGCCATGATGGTATATTTTATTCGTCACTTTTACGCATATTATACGAATCCGAATGTTCTGAAAGAAACTACTGCCTTTATGGTATATTTCATTCGTCACTTTTACGGATATTATACGAAGTCTAAAAAGATTTAAAATGAAGTTTATTAATTCAAAATATTTAGTGTATTTCTGGCATTTCACTTTGTTTTCCTTGTCCACGACATGAAAAAAGGGGCATTCATATATGAGGCTAAAATTTTTCTATAAATTTTAACATGGGAGCTAAATCTTTATGTGCATTTTTGCAAAAAATTATATTTTCTTAATTCAAACATCTTCAAAATAACTTATTTATTTTCTTATATCAAATTTGTTATTTTTATTCATATCAACACTTACATTAATTTACACAATTTAATTTCTTTTATGAAAATCCTATTACCCATTTAACTGGAATAAGCTGTATATTAAATTTGTGTACTTACTGAGTTTGGTACAATACTCGCCTTATTTTATTTAGCAAATGTGGGCAATTAAATTGGAATAAGACTAGCAAATCTTTCATGTCGAGGAATAGAATAATAAATACAGCAGAAGATGCTCGAAAACGTTTAACTTCTTGAACAATAGTTTAATGTAGACCAAAGGATCATTAATTATAATCAAAGATATACTAATATTTTATTTAATTTAATAATAATAATAACTAACTCTACGAAATTGCAAGCTGAATCCTGATATTTTACATATATTTCAGTTCCTTTAATCTTTGTTATAAAAATCATATGAGGCTAATTTTTTTAAATTTTGTTTAATGTATGGAAAAAATGATATAGCGATTTTAATAATTTTTATATGAGGAAAAAATTAATAAATAATGTAAATAAATAATTATATTATATTTTGTATTTTTCCTGAAACAGTTAAAGACATTCTTAATATGGAGATTTACAGAATAAGTACAAGGGTCCAGTTAAATGAACTCAAAATTTGCATAGTTAATTTTACGCTAAGTTATAAAAATTAACCAGATTTACTTACTACTATACACTGAGCATGCGCATACACAGACATTTCTATTTTTCGTAGAAAAATTTAATTATTACCTTAATACAAAGATGCTGTGAATATAAATTTATATAATGCAAAAGTAAGTTTATTTCATATGCTAATTTAGAGGCTTTCTTAATATGTTTAATTATAAAGAAAAAAAAAGCGTTGCAATTCTTGTTCACTGACCAATGGCAAAGCAGACACTTTCTACTTCCGGTTGTGGCGGGATATTTGTGAAGTCAGCACTCAGCAATGGCGGTCGAAAAGAATGGTAAAGTCGCAAAGAATACTGTTTGTTTGTGGATTGGCGTTTGTGACTGAATCCATCGAAGTTACTAATTATTTGAAGAAAGTAAGTGAATATTTTATATTTTCAGTGTTTAATAGTCGTATACTTTCTTCAATACTCGTACTTTTTCACCTATATAAAATTTTATAAATAGCGTCTTGTGTAGGAAATGTGATTTTCCATGTGTTGTTCTTTTGTGTACGTGCCTAATGATTCATTTTCAGCATTTGGTACTGTTTAATGACATAGAATACCAAATCAATAAATTGAAAAATTTTGCACTAGTCTGTTTCTTACTGTTTGTGTCACTCCTTTTTGTATGTGTCTCACCTTTTTATAGTTATATTATTTTTACTCAAACGTTTTAATATTTATCTTAAAGCATACTGTAATTAAGCAGGAAATAGCTTTTAATGGAAAAAGAAAGGCAATATTAACATGACTAATTGTTCAGAAATCTGTTATGGAAATGTTATCTACCTTATGCCAAAAAATAAAGCATGTAACTTTCATTTATTTATGAAATTCAAAATTTTTTTATTTGCTTAGTGTTTTCCCTAAAAATAATTTAATTTCTTATTTTTGAATTTAGTTTTATAAATTTGCTTTAATATATAATCTTTAACTCAAAGATATTGTGCTATTAAAAAAGGAAATTTTATGCCATAGAAACACAGGTACTTTGTTCCAAATCTGTGTTCATTTTTTTATATATATATATATACTGAATTTTTATGCACTTGTGTAATTACTGAAATATATCCTTTCATGAATAATAAGTAAGTCCTTTCAAGAATGCATTTCTTTTTTGTTTGTTTGATTTTGTTGTTTTAAAAGATCTGCAGTTAAAGAAAGAAAATAAAGTAAGAATGCTTTACTTTCAGTTTTGAATAAATTTATTACTATTTACTGCAGCTTCAAGTTTCTCTAAACATAATTTTCGAAGTCAAAACTTGATAGTTATGTTGATTATTAGACTTGCATGAAAAAATTTATTGAAAAATTAGTATTTGATCTTGTGTACGTGCCTAATGATTCATTTTCGGGATTTGGTACTGTTAAATTTTGCACTAGTCTGTTTCTTACTGTTTGTGTCACTCCTTTTTGTATGTGTCTCACCTTTTTATAGTTATATTATTTTTACTCAAACGTTTTAATATTTATCTTAAAGCATACTGTAATTAAGCAGGAAATAGCTTTTAATGGAAAAAGAAAGGCAATATTAACATGACTAATTGTTCAGAAATCTGTTATGGAAATGTTATCTACCTTATGCCAAAAAATAAGCGTTAACTTTCATTTATTTATGAAATTCAAAATTTTTTATTTGCTTAAGTGTTTTCCCTAAAAATAATTTAATTTCTTATTTTTGAATTTAGTTTTATAAATTTGCTTTAATATATAATCTTTAACTCAAAGATATTGTGCTATTAAAAAAGGAAATTTTATGCCATAGAAAAACACAGGTACTTTGTTCCAAATCTGTGTTCATTTTTTTATATATATATATACTGAATTTTTATGCACTTGTGTAATTACTGAAATATATCCTTTCATGAATAATAAGTAAGTCCTTTCAAGAATGCATTTCTTTTTTGTTGTTTGATTTTGTTGTTTTAAAAGATCTGCCATAGTTAAAGAAAGAAAATAAAGTAAGAATGCTTTACTTTCAGTTTTGAATAAATTTATTACTATTTACTGCAGCTTCAAGTTTCTCTAAACATAATTTTCGAAGTCAAAACTTGATAGTTATGTTGATTATTAGACTTGCATGAAAAAATTTATTGAAAAATTAGTATTTGATCTAAAATACCTTAAATTATTTGAATTATATTTTACTAAATCATGTATTTTGATATAACTAGATAGTTAAAAAATTAAAATTGTAAATGTGCAGAAATGCTTATATAAAACCAAGAAATTGTTTATATTTTTTTGCTTTTTCCCTTGTAAATTAATTATATATATATATTACAGTCTGGGGAGTCAGCACCCTGCTGAATTGTAGTAAACGAGACGTCCAATCTACTAGACCATCAAAGATGCAGATTTGGATTTTCTATTTCATAGTTATTGAAATCATAATGGTATGTTTGTTTAAATTAGTACTGTTTATGAATGTGATAAAAATAAATTCTGATAAGCTAAGAAATGATTTATTTTCTATTAATTATGAACTGTAAATAATGTAACCAATTTTCTTCATAGTATTTACTAAACATTTTTTTTTTTTTTTTTTTAAAGGGAGGTAGTCTTATTTATACAATTCTTGCAGAGATACCAAGAAATAAAACATTTCAGGAATTTTCACTCAGTATATCTTGATGTGTAAAATCGTGTTGTTCAATGCCATATTACTTTTTCACAGGAAAGTAATTTTATTGATCTAACATCTGCATAAATCAAACTTTTTTAAGAATGATTACAGTTTCTAAGCTAACTTAAAATTTTCAGATTTAGAAAATGTATGTTTAATGTAGCATTAGTTTTCCAT